GACTTTGTATTCAAGGGCCCGTTGCTGCTGATGCCCTGCCCAGGAATGTACAGCTGAACCTGCTCTCACATACAGTCCAGCTGATCCAACAGCCTCTGTCAGGGCGGCTGTGGCTACACTGTAGCTTGCCATCACCAGTGTGTGAATGGGTGGATGATTGTGTATAGTGTAAAGCACTTTGGGGTCCTTAAGACCAAGTAAAGCGCTATACAAATACAGACCATTTACCATTTACATATGTGCACACAGACACACACACATAGTATAAACAATGGAGCATGCCCAGCTATGCCTCTGATGAAGACTCTGAGCAATGCTATCACTTTAACCATGATGGGAGGAAATTGATTTCCTCTCCCACGCTTCAAACACAGCTAACTGGGTCAGAGGTAAAAGTAAAAACAGAAAGCAAGGTGAAGGGGGGCTTTGAAAATGAAAGAACTTGAGAAAACCGATGAGACAACACAACAACAACAACAACAACAACAAAATGCTCATCTATTACAGTCCTCCTAAAAGGGAAAGTTCAAAAGAAAGTGCAGCACTAGGTAAGTTTACATCTCAGGATGGGGCTGGGGGGATACCACTAATGTTTACATCCTGTCACCCTGTCATGAGCACAAGTTCCTCATCGGGGGACACACGCACACTACTTTCTGTGCGATGACACGCTTGCTGGTGGTAATTCGATGAAAATAAAACAGTTCCCACATGAAAGCGCTCACAATAAAGTCTGCTGATTTTTTTTTTCATGTCTTTGTATAACCAGGTCATGACTTCTGGAGAAAGAGTCTTTGCATCACCTCTACAGCTGATATCTCCGAAACTGGGCAATTCGCACCAAAGAAATCAAATTGGAACAACAATACTTCAGGCCATATTTTATTTTCTGAGTCACATTTTATCCTTTCACCATAATCCGCCGGTTTCATTTGAACTCCTAATGTGCAAGTCAGTGACGAAGCACCACGTAAGCTGAAATGATAACTTTTAACAGTGTAAACAAATGTCTGCTTTGTGATTAATTTCACAATAAACTGCATTAAACTCCTTTAGCCACAGTTCCAAAGAGAGGTATATCTTTGAGATTTCACCGCCACAGAGGAAGGCATGAATTTTATTTTCTGGGTTTGTTTGGAGCAAGCAGAAAAAAATGTGACAGTTTGCACCAACTGTGAAAAACTTGAAACTGCAAAGAGACTAAAAAGCGAGGCTTGGTGAGGCGAGGCATCGACTCGGGTCTACAAGACCTCTCCATTACAGTTCCAACCGCGTAAGTACAGTGCAGAGAAAACCACAGCAACAGGGTACATAAAGGTATGTGAACTTCTCAGCAAACTGACTTTGACCTCAAAAGATCACCTGCCAGTTGCACTGCTGCTTGCAACTTACAAAAAAAAAGAAGAAGAAGGAAGAACTATACCTTTTTTGGTAGGTGGGGTACCCTAACAGAGACACTTCTACTGCTCTGATGTTTGGTTTTAAACATGGTAGCATGTGGCATCTGTAAATACAGATAGATGCTACTGAAAAACGGCAATTAAAGTACAAACCTTTCAAAAGCATTGTCGTTCCAGTTCCACACTGGCTGCAAAAGTCCTGCAGATTTACTGGATTTGGCAGAAAAAGTGCGTGAGAGCCAAGCTGTTGTACATGTGCTTTTAAAAGAGTCCTCGAAACGCGGCACAAGTCATAAAAGTCATTCTCTGTTTAATGGATTCACTCGAGGCTAATTATAATCAGGCAAGGGAGCGGCCGTGACAACACCTCGCTCGGTTTCTTGCAGGCTGAAAGGATCTAATAACTGTTAAAAATGCAGAGATTACACCGTGTCTGAGTTTTGTTTTTAAAAGCTGGTCTTTTTCAGTCACAAGGCTTCAGACAGATCTATTGGTCTCCACTTTCAGGTAAAAGCAAATCAGTCAAGCTGTTTCCCTTGGAGACAAAAGCACTTTTGACCGTTCGTACATTTTTTTGTTGTTTTTTTTAAACAAAGCTGGTCGTGCAGGAATTTATAGCGAAGCTCCATCACACAAAAGAGGGGAAGATGTGATGCTATAAAATCAAATGTTCTTGCTGTTCACTAAAGAAATGCTGAACTTTAAAAACAGCCAAGGACAAGCCTGTAAAGTCAGATAGAGGCCTCAAACATCCTTCCCATTTAAGGGTATAGTCAACCAGCTAGAAACACTGAGATCATTTCAACTTCCACATCAGCTCCACCGCTCAGAGAAATGTTTGTATAACTACACTTCCCCCTAGCTGCCTTACTCTCCCTTCATTTGGCATAGACAGCAGTTATTCTCATTTTAGAGTCTGCTGATCATTCTAAGAATAAGAGGAAATGCATGCATTGTGTGCATATGAGGGATGCGGTTTTTTTTGTGTAGGGGAGGGTATTTGCATAGTACATACAGTACCTGCTCTATTATCATGAATGCTAGATGCATCGCAGGCCTCACAGAGAAGCACTAGGTGCATAGGTAAGGTTGGCCATTTCCTATAGCTGTTAAAGGACTGTAGAAAAAACATAGCTTTAAACTAACTCATACATGTGTACAGGGTCTCTTACGCTGCAGAACTTCCGTATGTTCTCTCTATGCCTGTTTGGGTTCTGTCCGGCTACTCTGGCTTCCTCCCACAATCCAAATCAAAGTGTATGTTTGATGAATGGAGTGTGAATGGTTGTCTGCCTCTCTGTGTGTGACCTGCCCAGCCCTTACCCTGCCTCTAGCCCCATGGCAGCACCGCTCCTCGATTTGGATAAGCAGAAGAAATTGGATTCTACATCAAACAATCCACTACGCTCTCATCCATCACATAACGAAACGTTTGCATGTGCTTTGGTGGAAAACTTTGTAGGTGTCTAAGACCAATATTGCCACTGTCAACCAATCAAAGTCTGAATCAGGAGGTTGGAGGATGGAGTTCTATCAGCACCAAGACTGGGGTTCACATCCCATTTGGCACTTCTTCTGTTTTTGCCACTCGATGGTTTTCAATTTTCCATAGGGGACTTTGACATATTCAAATATTCCCTCCATCCAGCTTCTGTTTATTCAACTCAACACATAGAGACAGACAACCGTTCACACCTATGGGCAATGATCACAAGAATCCCCAGTTAACCTGACCTAACATTCTACTACAAATGATCGGAAACGTACTAAGAAGCTGTTTGTCAGCTCATCCCTGAGCCTGGTTCTGCTGGAGGTTTCTTCCTGTTAAAAGGGAGTTTTTCCTTCCCACTGTCACCAAAGTGCTGCTCATAGGGGGTCATATGATTGTTGGGTTTTTCTCTGTATCTATGAAGCGCCTTGAGGCGACTTTTGTTGTGATTTGGCGCTGAATTGAATTGAATTAAACACAAAGGAGAACACTACTCACTGCTGGGTGTTGGACCTGTAAACTGAGTGCGCCCCAGCTCCTATTACAAAAACTGCAGAAATATGCAAAGTGAATGGATTAACTGTGCAAACACCACAATGTAAAGGTAGCATCTCACAGTCACTTTAAAGCAGATCTGATGGGTGGCAACGTCTGGAGAATAGCCAAATACTTCCAAGTAAATGAGGATTTTCAGGTTAGTTAGTTTATGTATCCCTTCTTTTCACTTTTGCTTTCACCCTGTAGTTAAGCTTAGGAAACAGAAATTGAATATTAACCCTGCAGACTTCACCCCAAAAGTGGATTTAGTTTTTTGTTTGTTTGTTTTTCAGATTGCAGTGTTTTATGAAATGAAGTGAAAAACAGTCCACTTTAGGCGCACGCCTAAGCCAAAAAAAAGGGGGGCGACACAACTGGCTTCATGGCTTTGTGTGTGCACGTAAGCTAAAAAGTGTCTACTTCATAACTTCCTATTACATAGTAAATAATCTGTTCCAGATGGTTGCGAGCCTTCAAAATAACTGTCATTTAATCAATGAACCAATCATCTCCTGGATGACTTCTTCTGGTTTCCGTCATTGCAAATTAAACATCGTCCAGCACTGAAAAACAACAGCTGTATTTCACACATTCCTCCACCTGCCACCCCCACCCTCTCCACGCTAACACGGGATGTGATGTCATAGGCGTTTCACTACACATAAGCTGAAATTGAATTGATGAACTGATGCCTAGTGTGTGATCTGGCATCTGCTGCACTGTACGCTGCACGTCACCATTGGCAGGTCATGCAGATCCACAGATCAAAGTTCGCTGCTTTATCAGGAAACCTGAAAGTGCTGCACCAAACTGTGGCTGGGGCTTCATCACCTATCTACCCAGCCAGCCATCAAACAAACAAACAAACAAACAAACAAACAGATGTGAAGCTGCAGTGATGATATACTCCACACGCCAAGTTTCATTTAGTTTCGACCACCACCGCCATCCTGACTGACACTCAAAACGAACGCCGCTGAAGCGCAGAGGGTAACATCTCGGCAGCAGGAGCCCGGTGCAGAGTTAAGCTGGAGGCAGTGCACCTGGCTGCTTTCCCAGAGTTGTGTTTGAAAAGAGGCTGCTGGCCCTTTAAAAGCTAAGATGGTGTCCTGCAAGCTGCAGTTGCTGCCTTCCGTTTCCTTCCTGCCTTTCAGAGATCACAGAGCATTCAAAATTGAACCTGAACTAACCTGGCGCACAGAGGGAAAGCCAGATGCACAGGACACACACAAACACGCACACAAGGAGGATTTTGTTTTCCTTTTTCTCCATTAGAATTAGAGGACTCTCGGAATGATGTTATTGCAATGCAATGAGGTCGCTGTTACAAAACTCTTCCAATAATTTGCAAAATAAACTGCCTGCAAGGACACACTTGTGACTGTTATAGAAGCACAGGCTATATTCGCTCACTGACAGTCATATTTTTGGCTCATGTTGGGTTGACAATGTCAACTCTGCTTGTGTACAGGCAGATCACCCACACAGGTAGATGTTTCTTCTTCTTTTTCTTCTTCTTATTTTTTTTTTTAATTCCTCCACTGACCAGGGCAAAGCCAATAACGTGCACTTACTTTCTTGTTACGGGTCTCCGTGTGCATCTCGGTTGCCGGAGCGGTGCAGCGGCGGAGGGGTGGAGCAGCAGGAGCAGGAGGGGGTCGGTCGGGGCTTTGGGTGTAGCTCTATCTGAATCAGAACTGTCAGGGAGAGAGAGGAGGGCTTTTTTGGGGGTGCTAGTTTTCCACCTTTACAGTCAAATATTTCGGGATATAGGAACACGATCCCTGCCTCTTCCAGTGTTTCTTTTCAGTTCATATCCGCGGCGTCGAAGGCTCCCTGTGCTTTTACCCCCCCAAAAAAACAAAAAAAAAAAACAGCCAGTCTCTCTGTGTCTCTCCCTCTCTCTCTCTGTCGGCGTGTTGTTGCCGTGTATTCAAGGGCTGGGCTCTCTCTCTCTGCCTTTTCCTCCTCCGCCTCTCCCTGCTTGTGACCCCACCCTGCGTCCCCACCCCTCATCTCTCTGTCAGTCAGGAGCTGCGCAGCCCTGCAGCCCTGCAGAGGAGCGGGGCCGCTCTGCCGGCGACCCGACACCGGCAGCGGGCGGGCGGGCAGTGCAAGAGGAGCTGCTGCAGAAGCACCAGCGCACAAATGCAAAGAGAGAGGCGTGGAGGTGTGGGGGGCTTTAATTGCATCTACCAGCACTGCTCTCCACATTACCTCCTCTCCCATGCACCAATGCTGTGCTGCAGCAGCTTATTGCCCACGGATGATGATGAAGAGAAACACCCATGTCACCTTACTGACGTCACCCAGCAAGCTAATTGAGGACACTTAAGCTGGGCGGGGAGGGTGGGGGCGTTAGGAAATGTATCGAGGCTTTGCAGCATTCGGTTTGATAAATGTGACACCGTGCACAGCCAAGATGGAAGGAGGAGAGGCACAGCCAGTTCGGGTGAAAGATGTAGTCATAACCACACCCTCGGTAATAGAGAGGGGTGTGGCAAGTGCGAGGGCGTTATTATTTTTTTATTTTCTTTTTCTTCAATAGGGATTTTGCACAAAGGAAAAAATGTAGTCTGCGTGTCAAGACTGATGAGGATTTGCATATTGAGCGCAAAACGGAGCCAAATAATGCAGAGGAGATGTGCAGTGTGTAATGTGCTGTTTAAGAACCTCAGGCTTTTTAGTAATCCCGGTTTTGCATTAAAAATGTTATTGCTGGGGGGGGTTTCAGCCGCAAATACCCATAATTTGGGGTTAGGTTAATATCACACATAGGTGCGATACGCTGTCTTTATTAATTCCCACAACTGTAAACATGAAAACGGTGCTAACAGTTTAGTTTCTGTCGGACTACATTTCCCATGATTCCACACCGGAACTGACAATTCTGCCAGGAAACATGAGGAGGTAAACAAAACTTTCAGTTATCCTTGTTGTATATTACTCGTTTCAAACATTTGTGCCACTTGAATCAAACACGTTGGGTTTTAGACCCCGGTTAACGACGCTGTAAGGGAAAAAATAACAATGTAAATCCGTTACGTACCTTTTACGTCTACCTCGGGATGTTGTCATGGAGATAGCAGCTAAACTCATGTAGCGTTAGCTCATCTGTCAGGCTAGCAGCTTTACAAACTACTTTTACATGTTTATTCAGCACTTCTGTAGATTACTGTTAAGCACGGACCGTCTCCCGTCTCGTGGGAGAGTCTCCCGTTACCTTCGATCTGGATAATGTTTAAAAAAAAATTTAAAAAATAACAAAAATACGTTAGCGTCATCTCCTGCACACCAAAAGCAAGGTGAGGTTGTATTTTGGCTTCCTCTGTAGGTGGGATAGCATTGGGCTTTTTCAGAGCAACCACTCATGATGTATTCATACAAATGCACCGTGAACAAAAGCACAAATAAAGTATAATTATGTACCTTCTAAATTCAAAAACTGCTAAATATCTAAATAAAAAGAAGCAGAATTCTTTGCACTGGAGAAGCACGCCCTACAGAGTTTACTAGTTAACGTGGGCTTAATTTACCTGGGGCTGAAATCACGCTGTACAACAGTGCGGGGAAAAGGTGTGCAACTGCTCCGAGGTCTGTTTTCTGTCGTTTGTTGGGTGTGTCAGGAGGGCTACCCAATGAGGAGTAACCAGGACGGACAGGATTAGGAATGCGTCTGTGAGACAGAGACAGGTCAGGTTGAGCAGCTTGGAGACATGACATAGTCTGGACGTGAGCAGAGGAGGGATAGTGGATATAATGGACAAAGGATGATGAAGATGGAGCTTCCTGGCAGGGGGAAAATGAGATGACTGCAGAAAGGATTTATGAATGTAGTGAAGGAGGACGTGCAGAGAGCCGACGTGACGGAGGAGGAATAGGATTAATAGATGAGATGGAGGCAGATGATCACCTGTGGTGAAAGTGTTCAAATACTCCAAAAACCTACCTTCTGGTTCTTTTCCCATTCCCAATACCTTACCCTGAACGTGTGTGCGTGTAGTCTTCAGGTAATGTGATAGACATAGAGATGTTCACACGTAGCAGATTTGTGTTACATCAGGGTCGTTCCATCTGAAATCATCAGATTTTTAGATCATTTTCTGCTCGACCAGCTCCAATTAATTTGACATATATGATGAGTTCTGTGAAATTTTAGCTTCAGTATTAAATACCTTCATAGATATTTATTTTTAAAGATTTATCCAGCCACTTCTTTTTGCACTTTTGCATTTGAGCGTGAATATCTCAAAAACTAAAGCCTGAAATTTTTACTGGTCTTTCTTACTTAATACAGGATCTGCTTTATGGTGGATCGAAAATACAGTAAGGAGAAGTAACAGGAGCAGCAGTATATCAGATCATTTAAATGTGTGCAGGAGATGCAGAAGAGAGTGAAAAACAGAACTGCCAATGCAATTGCCATAAAAACCAAAAAAAGTAGAAAGTACCAGCAGTGCATATAGCGCTTGAGTAAAATACGAGGGAGCCTTAACACCATAGTTTCCATTTAAATAAACATGTATAAATCCATGTTCACTGGCTGCAACATCCAAGCTAACTCGTATGTAAGTCTATACGTTTAATAGATGTCAAAAGGTCACTGTGCAAGTAGACTTTGATGTTTCTTCACATCCAGCTGTTGTCTAAGGAGGTTGTAAAGAGAATGGCTGGACTTCTTTAAGTTTTGTGAAGACGTTTCACCTCTAATCCAAGAGGCTTCTTCAAACCGTGGAGAGTCCCAGGTATATGAATCCTAGAGAGGGTTGTCCATCAAGAGGGTTGTTGACCCACTATTAATTGTGTGCCTCATCACCTGAGCCAAGGTGAAACCACTGTGAGACTTTGCCTCACCCTATTATGTCATTTATTGAGGTCACCAGATGCAACATGTGAGTGGGGGTTGAGATGTCTGGGAAGGAATCTCAAGACTGCATTGTAGGTTGTAGAACTGAAGTAGACATCTTCCCAAAACGTAAAGAAGTCCAGTCGCTTTCTTTCCAGGGTCCTTAGACTCCCATGACTTAGAGGAATGAGACATACACCCAGGTGTTGTTGAGATTCTGGCATCCAGAGATAAGGCATTTGTGGGAAGTAGGCAGAGCTGTTTGACAAACTGTAGGCTGTAGTGGGTGTTTTAGGCTACCTAGCACTCCTGGCTAAGGACCCTTAGAAAACTGGCTTGTGCTCTCGTTCTCTTTGACCTCAGTGAAGACTTTCCTAATCACCTGATGATTGGCTGAGTCACTAGTTTTGATCAATGTTTAATAGAATAATAAGATCTTTTTGTGAATTTTGGTCTTTCTAAGAGTCAGAAAGGATGAATATCCAGTATGCGTTCGTAAATTAGTGAGGATGCAGTTTTTCCAAACGTGCCCTTTGCTCCTCACGTGTGGTCTCAAAACACCAAGACAGCAAAAACACGCACCTCAAGGCTTCTGAACGAGACTTCACTAACCAATGGGTGATGTCATGTTTGCAACATAAATTGCATGTGGCTCATGCAAGCTATCTCCAGTCTATATTTAAGTCATAATTTTTGCCTGAAACTTCTTGAAGATGTTTTTTTGAGAAAAGAGCCTTATGTGTTATCCAATAATTCAGTACTACATCTTTAAAACAAATTTTATAGAATGAAATCTAATAATGATGCACCAGTGCTCAAATGAGCATCGATGGTAAGCAATATGTTTGCCCATGTTTGTCTCCTAGCTAAAAAATCAAGACGATGATATGCCAGAGAATTGAACTGGCACTTTTACTCAAAGCAAAACAGTACTTTTTCATTCAAAATTGTAAGATTATTTCTTTAACCTTAAAACAAGTCCCACAGTCCTTCAGTGCTGCAGACAACCCCAGAGTCTGGGACAAGCAGTAGATATGACAGTGTGACCTCCTGCAGGGCATCTACATACATATATCAGTGCATATTGCAAAAACCTACTGCAAGCTTGCATAATATTCTGTGTTTTGTGAAGATTTATAATTCCAAACTAATTCTGGCATTTGATAAAAGCATTTATAATGTAGGGATAGGCACTCCAAGACAGTATTTACTTTACAATAATTTACCAAGTAAGTAAAAGTAATGATTTGCTGAAAAAAAGCAGGTATTTATTGGTACTAGAGGTAGGGATTTTTCAAAAACACAATGACAAAAAACATATATGCGTCTGCTGTTGGCCAGATTCTCAATTTAATAAAAAAAATACAAATCAGCATCAGCAGTCTCTAATGTCCATATAATACAGCCATGTTTATTGAATTCACAAATCTGCAATGGCCTGGTATAATTGCTCATATTAAATCATTTAGATCATTTTTCTAGCAAAAATACCCATTATTGCGAATGTGAGGACTTTCTCTGATTCTCTTTGTTTGTATCTTCCTTCAGTACTGTGGGGTTTTCATCTCTTAGCAATTGTAAGTAGAGCAGGGCGATATGACCAAAAATATTTATCACGACATACATTTGAAAATTTGCGATAACGATATAACTGATGATGTAATTGACACTAGACAAATTTATATTTATATTATATTATAAGGGACACTGTCGATTTTCAGAAAAATCAAAGGATTAATTTTAAGTGTGCCGTATTTTCCAAAAAACACGGTAATAACGACGGCGCGCTAGCATACTCTACCAAAAAATAGTGCTTTGTTGTGTATGACGGATGAAAGCTAAACCAGTTCCACACCACTGAAGTTTTTGCATTTTTACAAACCAATTCTGGTTCATCTGGTTCATTTAACAATCCGCTTTCGCCCTCCTCATTCTCCGTCGTCGCCATGCTTTTTCCGCCATGTGTGTATGAAAACAAAGGCATTGCGCATGCGCGTTTTACCCATATTCTATCGCTATATTTCATTTTCTTATCGTTGCCCAACATTATACCGGTATTACTGTCAACTATGGCCCAGCCCTAGTTGTAAGCAGGTGATCTGAGGTCATTTTTCACAATGTTGTTAATTTTATTATTTTAAGCTAAAATAAATACAGATGTTATTACTGTTGTTTGCATCAGATGTGGTTTAGTGATTTCAGGCACTTTTTCTAGAAAGCCGTACTAGTTGACGCCTCCAACTTGATTCAGT